CGTCTGACACTTTGCCTAAAAAAAGAAGGAAAATGTTCGGTCCGTTGTTCAATTTCCAGCCATATTCATTCATCACTTGTCAAGCCTTAATGAGGGAGTGCTGAAAAGTTGACTGACTTGGCAAACATTTGTGTCGTGGCGGACTTTTTATCCGAATCAAAAAAGTGCAAGTTAAAAGCAACCATTTGTCAGGATTTTTTCTTCCTGTATTGTTAGATAAAAAATTGCACAATTTGACTTGTGTGTGTCCAAAAGAACAAGCCAAACTTATGATTGAATTAAATTTGTGATAATAAAGGACAGAATTTGTTAGAAAACGTGTGTACTTTTAAGGGCCAGAACATTCAGAAAAAGCTATTTTCAAAATTTCAATTGAGCTTGTCTTGAATACAAATTATCAATTTCTCATCTTTTTATCTGAAATAGATTTGTGGCCCCTTTTTTTGATAAGATAAAAACCCTTTATTGGTCTGCTTTGTAATTACAGAAAACCATTCACTACAAATTTCAACTGTACCCCAAATAAATATTGATTCTGTGGACACAAATTTCGTTGGTTTGGCACAAACATGCACTGTGCACTATTCTATATTTTACTGTTAAATCTAATAAAGATCTGAACTTTAAAATGAGGACGGAATTTCAATTTGAATCCTAGTTTGATAATGCTGAAAACAAACAAGAGTCAGGATAATTTGCACACAATTTCAAATACGTTGATAAAATTCGCATTCATCCAAAAGTAGCACTTTTGTTCAGAAGAAATCCTATCAAACTCTCTTTTCTGTTTTTTTTTCACAGGAGACTGAAAAGCTGAAACCCAAAAAACTGAATTTTAGTAAAAAATCCTTGGTCAAAATTTTCTCTTTCATTCTTTATGTTCTGGCTGTATTCACCACTTTGTAAAATCAACTTTTTTTTAAACAGGAGAAATCTGGTGTGCATTTTGCAGAGTTGAAAGTCATCAGAAATTCCCAGCCACACAAACGGTCCTTCAAAAGCACAACTCAAATGTCTGGCATTTACATTCCAAAATTTCCTGTCTGCATTTGAACATGAAACATTATTCTATTCGCTTTTCTCCCACTTTGCCTCCCTTTTCAACAGGGTCATGAAACAAAAAAGAAAGGACAAAGAAAAAATAACAGAAGGGAAAATCCACCACAAATCAACTCACTCCCGGCCCGGCAACAACCGCCGTAAATTCTCGTTTTCCCCAAAAATTACCCTTCTCATCCATCAAGTGTGCCCCATCAATTAAATTTTTTTTGTCCGAGGGGAGCAAACCTAACCCTCCATTCAAAGGGATTCTACATGTAGGATATCATTAAATAAAAGTATGGCCCACAATGTGATACAAAATTAATGGTCTGTCGGGTTCGGTTTCAGTAAAAAAAAAAATTAAATTACGACTAAACGGGGGCAATGCAAACATCTTAGACAATAACTCAGGTAGGGTCTCTACGAAACCGTCGAACATCCTTCTCACAAGACCCTGAACAATGGAGTTGTTCTAGGGAACCTATTTTTAATTTCAAATTAACCCTTATTAGGGCAGCCCTCGTTCACAAATCATGTTTGACTGGGAAAGTACAAATTATGCTGTATGTGGGGTTGCGGGTGATTGGGGAACATTAGTGTGTCGGTCGGACGTAAGAAAATTGGCATGTTTGAAGTTGCTAGTGAGACAGGTGGGTTACGGTAGGCAGGCAGAAAGGCACTGAATAAGCAGGCAGGGAACCAGCCAAACAGCCGAGTACCACCCAACCTGGCTGCCACCCACATCTACGTGTGGTATTAAACCGATAAAAAAAATTATGAACATGGTACATCGCACGGCCAAAAACACACACCCACAATGAGACTCAATCTGACAGACAACGAACACATGATTGATGATTTGTTAAACTTTTTCGTACATGTAAATACCACAAAATGGTTTTACCAATTTCTGAAAACTAAAAAGAGAAAACATTGCCACAGATAAGGACACCCATTGAATCGTCAAGGTATCTTAACCATACTCGAGAAATATCCTCTTATAAAAAAAACAGATTTATTTTCGGACCCACAGCACAAGAGGAAAGGACGGCAGTAACTTCAGAAACCATCTACCCCGAACAACACAAGAGCCGCGTGCCGAAGGGAGAAAAATTAGCGGTGGACTTCAACGAAGTGAGCGGCGTATCTCGTGGGTCGATCGTTGATGCTCGATCTCGTCAGCGGACTCGCCGATTGCTTGGGACTGTTTGGCGAAGGGTTTGTGAGCGATGTATGCGGGGTGTTGATGGACAGCTAGCCCGCGCACGTACGCTTGCCACACCTTTGAGATATCGTGATGATGTTTGTTTTGGTTTTGTCCAGGGAAGGGGGGGGGGTGTCAATTAGGGGTATCAGTCAGGCAAGTCATTAACATCCGACCACTCAAATAATTGCCAAGCTGACCAAGAAGCTGCATGATTGGTTAAAGTCAATTTCAAACCATGAATTATTCATTGAATATGTGGCATCCTGTCCTCCAATCAGACGTCCCAGATGACATTCCTTCTGATGAATTATTCATCAAGCAGCCATCTCAAATCAAATCAAACATTTTGTTTAGACAAATATCTCCAATATTAGTTTCTTAAAAGAAACACCAGTACATGTGCATGTATACTAAACAATAAGCTAGACATTAATACTTCTCCCCGGAGCAATTTTAAGCTGACTTTTTCATTTGAGTGAGTATGGTGTCAGCCAACAAGCTGCTTAAAGACAAATTAGTAATTTTAAAAAAATTTCTACTCACAATTTAATGAACTCCATTACAAATTCAGGAATATAAATTTCCAAAACTTGGAGTGCTGAAATTTGCAACAAACTTGTCTTAAATCAAATGAAAATATTGTATTTTATTAAATTTTAAATCCCAAAAGCAAAAATTAAGCTGTCAATCTGTATCCTTATCTTTCCCTGTTTCCTGCTCCGATGAGATTGACGGTTGATTAAAAGATTATGATTGACATCTCTTATCGCGAGGCTTCCCGTTGATCAGGGGTTTTGGCAACAGTTTGGACAACCGGAACGTGTCGGCCGAACAATCAGAAACTGACCACGCCAGTTCCCGCTCACTGATATCGCAATGCTACCAGGTTTTGTTGTCTTTTCTGGGGTAGCGTGCGCGGGCGCGTGTGCACGCCGGCCGGCCCGGGAGTAGTTTTGGGGTCGGAGGTGTTAGGACGGAAGGGAGGGCTTTTATCTGATATTTTTGAGGATTGTTGACCGTGGGTCAAAAGTGTGAGATAAGGAGCCTCATAAAAATATTTAATTGACACTTTGGAGTGGTGAAACTTGTACTTCAGGGCCAATTCAGGCCAATGACTTCCTTTGAAATAAATAATAAATGAGGAGTTCCCAAATTAGATGAAAAAAGGTTGGATTTTTTTTTTTTTCAAAATAGGAAATCAAATACCTATGAATCTAAAAAAAAAAAAAAAAAACAAAAACAAAACACGAAACAATAATATTGTACATGTGTATGTAGCTTGAGAGAAAGAATTTTTTTTTTGAAACGAACTTGGTTCATATATATTTTCCGCTGAGATAAAAATTGCAACTTCTATGAGGATTTCTGGCACTTTTCAGTTTTAGTTTTTGATTTAGTATTTGAAGCAAAAGGTTGCAGCAGTTTTTTTTGTGCTAAATACATCTCCCCTTGCAGTAAATTGAAGTTTCAAATTGTATAAGGATTACTGGTACGTGTCATTGATTTTGGTAGGTGATAATTTTTTCCAACCCCAAAATTAAAAAGAAAGGTTTAGTTTGCTCTTGATGAGCACTGAGACAACTCAAGATTCTTCCGGTCTAGACCTTGCCGCCACGCTTGTTAAAACATCATCAAGATTAAACACAATTTATTGCACAATTTGACTGGTCTGTCTGCATTGCACATCGCATCAAAGATTACATCAGCTTATTCGGGGGAAGGGGGGGGGGGCAAGGCATGCCTTTTAATTCAACCTGTTCCGTTGCCCGGTCCGTGTTTGTCGCCCTCGCCAGTGACGGCGAGGTCGGAAGTTATCACCCGAGATGTCTCCGACGCAAGACAGTCAAATTTGTCTCCCGCGCGAGAGCACGTAACGACAAAGAGCCGAGTGATTCTTTTCGAAGACTAGGCGCGGGTTTGCGGGGTCGTGGCCAGGGCAAAGCTCTTGCGAGCGTGTTGCGAGAGACCCAACCGCCAGGCCTCAACACCGGGGCATGTGCATGTATCCAATATTGACTCTCTGGGACGGCAAAAAAAAAAGTAGCGTGCTACGCCAGCCGGACTACTTGAAACCCCAAACGTTTTGTACTGTTATCAGAGGGAGGCTTCGATCGTACTTGACTGATCACCTGACAGGGCTGGTTGCCATGGCAGCAGCCGGTTCAGAAAGACTCATGCCGGATGCTGATTGGTCAGTTTGGGGGGTGCATTGGTTATGCAGATGTCAGCTAGTGCCGACACGTTACCGTGGGCTTCGGCACTATATCGACAAACTGCATCAGCAGGCAAAACACTGTTAGGGTCTGGGATAGCTATTTGTGGGGTGACCTGGGAACATTTTGAAGGATGAGTTGCATGAAACCTTGTCAGAAAAGCTTAATATTCCCGCAGGTAATGATTTGCTGACAAATTCAGCATATCCTTTTAAACAAAATCTACCTAACTAACTCACTATTATTTTGTGCTGCACAGGATTTGCTCACAGTTCTACTGCAAAAAGGTTTTCATTTGAGGTTTAAACCTTAGTTTAAAAGAAACAGCTATTGGTACTTTTTCTGATAAACTGTTTGATAAAAAATGATCATGTGATAAAAAGGTGACCAAAACAGAATGGTACTTGTCAAATGAAAAATGTCACTCAGTTGGGAAACCCCCTGAAGGGCAAAGCATGATGTCCACGAATGAAAGGACTAAAAGCAGTTATGCAGAAACTCAAGACGGTAAATACAATTTAGAAAAATAAGCAACCCACCTATGATCTCTAAGATGATCTTGTCGTCGGAACGCTTTCTGGCAGATGTCGCAAGAGAATGGTCGCTCATCCGTGTGGGTACGCTCATGGATCAACAAGTTGTACGACTTGGTGAAATGCCGGCCGCAGAACTTACAGATGAACTCCTTCTTGGCGCGCGTCGGGCCCCGCCCCCTCCGTCGTTCCTCTGGGTGGGGGTGGTGATGCGGGTGGGGATGCGGGTGGGGTAGGGAAACCAAACCCTTGGCAAGATTCTCGTCGGCGCTGCAGGGCTGGGTGGCGGCGAGCGCCAAGTGGGCAAAGTCAAATTTCGGCGCCCGTTGCGGTTGTTGCGACATCCGTGCCGTGTCCTTACTGTAGTCAAGACTGAGTGCTCGGTGGACCAGCTCGCTGGCAGGCAGGGCGCCGGTTTGCAAGGCACCAGGCAACAGATGCCACGGGGATGGGTACCCTTGGTGATGCCCGCCCCAAACCGGACTGATCGTGTTCAGGGGTAGGAGGGGCATCGGTTCGCCGTTTTTCTGCAGGCCTGTGTACTGGATGTTGCCGTGAAGGGCGAACGCGGCGTGAGCGGAGACGGGTCCGGCGGGAATGAAGGATTGGAGTTGGTGTTGGCTGGTTGGCGTTAGGGGTGGGGTGGGTGGGCCGGTGCTGGCCCGAACCTTCTTCAGCTCTGAAGAAAAATAAAGCAAAAAGAAATTCATTGAAACAGAAAAAGAAATTTGTAATCCCGAGGCAACATCAGGTTGAACATGGAATCAGACAAAAAGGGTGTTCCACTGAAATCAAGAAATGTTAAAAAACATGACAAAGATCAGATTTTGAGCATTTCTCCATTGTTTTTCTTAATCAAAATGATTCTCTAATTCTGCTACAATTGGGAAAGGTTCACTAGGAAATCAGACAGAATTAAGAGGCATCAAATTTGTGTAACACTTCATGCACAATCTTACCCATAACATTATTTTTTAATTATTTTATAAGACGATTTTTCTGCTGTTGAAGTTGACCAATCCATGTCAGACATTTCCATAATGGTCTTAGGAAAATTGCTAAACTTCTGGTCGTCATAATCACTACTATCTTTGAGAAACAATTCCCAATAAATCAAACTGAAATGGATGCTAAAGTTCCTTCTGGAAATAACAATAAGTTTGATCACAACAAAAAATATTTTTAGAAGAACACGCAAACCCAGACCTTACCATTCAAACAACATTCGCAATTGTGCACCAACCGGCAGACAGAACTTCCAACACAAAAGGAACACATCTTCATATAAATGACAAACGTCTCTCGAATATAACTTCACTGAACAGTCAACCCAACTGCTTACACCTCCGACAACTTTCTCAAGTGACGTCCACTTCTTCCGAAGGCTCAAGGCTCACCAGACCACAGAAATAAGAAGCTCAATTATTGACAAACATGAGGCTGGAACCGGTGAGACTGGTAGTCCGTGTGGGACCAGTCGATGCAAAGCTAAAAAGCCCACAGATCATTTGACCCCGCGCCTTACTGACACAGTGCCGCTACCCACATTAATTTGTCAAGCCCTCTTTATGTGTAATAACCCATTGTCTGACCGTTTTTATTAAACAACACGAACCAGCTCCCTTTACTTTGCGTGTACATAAATATAACGACAAATACACACATGCTAAATGTTAAACACACCCTTTCAGTTGATGAAGGGGGAAAAAGTGCCGCCCGGGTTTAGAAATCCTGGAGGATTTTCAAACAGGAGAAATGTACGCTTGGTAAACAGCTCAGGCCGGTATCACAAACACGGCCAGGTACTCTGGCTTTTTTTCCTCACCGACCGACTGACGCTTTGCGCGGGGAGCAAACAGTCGCATGGAAGGGGGAGTGCGGTTTACCGCAGGGGGCGACCGGCGACAACGGCGGCGCTGGGCTGGAATCTTATTGATGCTGCCGACGCGGTGAAGGTGCTCGGGTTAAGAGGGTCGGCGGTAATTCTTTCAAAGGACGCCGATCATTTGCATCAGAATGTTGATGATGCAAGGGGGATCTGACAAATCACGACCTCCGGTTCGATGGCTGACTGCGTACATGCGGTCAACACTGCCCTCGCTGTATGCGAGGTCACAAGCAGCCATACCTCTGCACACAAATTTAATTGGTAGTGTACAGAGATGGCGATTAAAAAAATAAATGTATCTCCACTGTTATAAAAACGTTACATATGTGCATTTGTGGTAATGGACATTCAGCCTAATGGTATCAGAAATTGTTTGGACAACCAATCTGGAAAAATCTGTATTTGCCTTTCAATAAATCCATAAAATAAGAAAATATTTACAAAAAGAAGGAATGAACTAGTAAATTACTTGAGATTAGAGTAATTACAAGCATATAAGTCTTGGCAAACAAACTTAATGGCTTACCAAAAGAAAAAATTAAAGCCCCATTAAATTTGAGTTCCTTAAGAAATGACGCAGACATATTTTTAAAAAAGAAAAAAAGAAAAAAGGAAAATCATTTGCGAAAAATCACAAGATAGGCCCTATGACAAGCTTTAAACGACATCAATTTGTCACTGATATTTGACACATTTTTAGAAGAATCTGCATATAATTTTAATTTTTTTTAAATAAATTTTGCAGGAATATGTAGAAAAAAAGTGCAAATTACATGAATTATGCATGAATTTATAAGATGACCTTTTTCTACAGGCTCAATTTTCCAGTGCGTGGAATGAGGGAGGGGCTAAAGAATCATTGGGGGAGGAAGATGCATATAACCAAAAAACAGCCTTATCAAAAACGTCACATAAACATGATAAATGCAACAGCCTCAGCTAATGTACATGAACACAATACACTGCATAGGACCACACATGTACATGTACTATGCATGTACGTGCAGAACGGGTTGGGCATACAATGCACCCACATTGATGGCAATACTGCTTACTGTTGGTTGTTGCAAGGCTCTTTTTACCAAAATCTGTCCTCTTTTCTCCAATTTTTTTCAACCAAACGCTTAAGAAAATATGACTTTTAATGTTCTTCAAGTCTAGTTGCATTGTCACTGCTGAATTGGATGCAATAAAAAGTAGTACAAAACTGATCGTTTTGAAATATTCGTTAATCTTAAAATCCAGGTCGTTATTTTGCACAATAGTTCCCATCAACCAAATTTCCAACACATCTGAAACCAATGACACCTTTTTTAATGCTCAAAAACAAAATTGGGACATCAAATGCTATCAAAATACTCACAAAACGGGTGTGAAACTTTGGAGAATTTGAGTGGAAATCAGTTTATAGATAATTTCAGCACAGAATTGAAATAGCCCTATACGACAGATGTGCATTGCTGAATACAATACAAAGGCAGAAACCTAATGAATGCAGAAAACAGAGTTTGCATGTGTGAAATACCAAACTGTCCAAGACAGAAATTTCAGATCCAAAATTGGGATTTTCAAAAATGCTTTTCACTTCTTCTGAGAGTGTTATGAAATGAAGAAAATTAAATAACCTCTGATATTTAGGATTTTTCACATTTACTTTGAATAATTATATAAAACTTGTTCTAAAAATTGATCCGAATCAATAACTCTTTGTTTTTGTAAATGTCTTAATTTCACCAGAAGTTGAAACAATTTTTCAACAACTATATGGTAGATTTTCTGAAAATAGCAGAATTTTATTCTTAAAAGGTCAGACTTAACTTAAAGGCAATATACAACATTTGCTTTTGCTGTAATTTTTAGAAATTATAGCAAATATTGTTACACTGACCTGTTTAAAGTTTTGTGTTCGCAGATGCTGAAAAATGTAGTCTGGTTCCCTGAACCTACTTCATATGAAACACAGCAATTTATATTTGTCGAGAAATTGTCAGGTCAGGGAACCAGACTAGCTGGCTTGCACCTGTCAGGGGTGTGTAACCGATTGCAAACAAAATGTGGACTACAATGTAACTTAATTTGGTAAATTGGGGAAGGTTTTTGAAAAAAAAAAGTCAGTTTTCTTCCAAAGATGGTTGGACGACCATCATTGGAAATTGATAAAAAAAATTCCACTTTTCTTGAAAATGATAGCAAACCAAGTGCCATGATTTCGCAGGATGTTTGAGACTTTTATAAAGTAAGGTTCTTCATAATAATTTAGTAGTTTTGTGTTTTAACGTTTGCAAATGTATATTAATTGCCTTTAATTCAACATGTTTATAATTAACTTTCAAAGAAAGAAACAAAGAAATTCTCCCCATGAAAACTGCAGTGTGAAACTCTCAATTAGTTTTTATTGCACTTTAATCATTTAGAAAATCCCAAACCATATTCTCAACCTCTTGCAACAAACAACAACTAGATTTTGCACTTTGTCTTTGTATGGAATTGAATATTCTTTAAAATAAAATTAGAAGCCTTTTTCCTTTTAACACCGAACATTTTTTTCTGAATTACAGCTCCTACTTAACCACAGGACCTCAACTTAACTAACGACTCGCTGATGGATGAGTTCCCACCTGTCTGTTACCTCTCCTCGCTTGACAAGTAAATAAACAGCCTCTTTATAATTCATGTATTAATTAACCAAAACCTACCGCTCAAACAAGAAGCAGTTGCACTTCCCCTAATTACACACACACAAAAAGACAAAACCAAAAAGAAAAAGGACACTCGCGAAATACCACCATTTGTTTAATTTTACAAAGTCTATTGGATCATGTAATATTTATACAGATTCTCCATTCCAAGTTTTTTTTCTTTCTTTCTCGGCTTCGTCTGTTTCCATTATTGCCACGGTAACGTGATAGCTCCACGCACGAGCGCTCGCCGCGCTATAGCTTCCACTACTCTCGTTACCTTTGTGCGATTTTTTTTTTCCGTTTCAGCCGGTCGGCAAATAACGAGTCCAACGACAACATCTGGTGTCTATCTCCAGTTGAAGCTAAGCTTTCACACTTTTTAAAAGTCCGTTCCATTACATTGGGATGGCTTGATATATGAAGCATAAAGGTAATTTTTGCCCGTCCGGATCTTTAAAAAAAAAATCATCGGATTTTTTGCAGAATTTAGAAATGTAGAACCAGGTCAACATGTATTTCAAACTGAAATTTTGACAAATATTTTGTTTTCATCATTGTAGTGAAGTGGATGGTTTTGTTACTATGAAGTATTTGGTTTGAACTTCGAACTCTTCAAAATCCACACAAGTCATGACAAGTGACCTTTGACACGATTACCCATGCATGATGAGGTCACATTAAGTGACAAGGTGACAGCATGGACGTCACGGCCGTGATTCGTAAGCCTCCTAATCCCCTACCGCACTGATACAACGGGCACATCAACCGACACCCACTAACCACTTGTCTCGATCCCCTGTGTATCCTCCCTTACCTGCCCTTTGACCTCCGACACACCGATGCATGACGAGGTGACAAGTATGGACACTGTCATGTCACGTCCGCGATTCATCTTCACACCAGCCTCCTCATTTTCCCTTCATCCCCTATGAGCCACGTCTTGCTCCCTGTGCATCTTTCCCTACCCCTTGACCTTTGACACACCGATGCGTGACTAGGTGACAAGCATGGACACTGTCACGTTGAGGCCGCGATCCATCACCTTCACACTGGCTCTCTGTCCCCCCTCCATCTGACGAGTCTTGCTCTCCAATGTGGCCACCCCCCCCT